CTCACTCCTCGAGACCCAGCTCAAATGTCCTCACTTCCTCGGAGTCTTCCCCGACCCTCCTGCGGGCGCGGTCGGTCTCGCCGCTCGGCTTTTGCAGTCCCGGCGCCCGCCCGGTTACTCTGCTCCGTGCACTTGTTGGGGCGCTGTGCTTTGCTTTTTCCATCTCCATGTCCCGGGGTCTAGCGCGTGATGACGATAATAATAACCCATATTTACCGAATAGCCACAAAATGTCACGTGCTACTTAATGCATTACATGTAAAGGCCCATTTAACCTTGTAAGCAATTCCATAAGGTGGATTTTATATTTTCACATTTTATGCAAGAAAGAGTTGAGGTACTCATAAATCAATTTGCCTGGAGTCCTGCAACCTGTGAGTGGAGCTGGGAAACGAATTGAAGGCTGTTGGTCCCAGGAACAGGTGACCGTTTCCGCTAGAGAGCGTTTGGGTTTGTTAAATTTCTGTGTAGCTGGTCTACATCAGCCCCTCCGGTTATGGAGGCCAGGACTACGATACACATTTTATTTTACCGAGAAGGCTTAGCAAGGAGAATTGATGTTCCTAATCATGTAGAGAGTTCATGACAAAACCAAGAGATCTGCAGACTTCGTCCTTTCACACCCTTTAGCAAGTGCCCCTCACAGAGTTGTGATTTCACGTTTCATGGTTTGGGAGGCCACTTCAGTAATGGAGAGGGCATAGAGTTTGAAAGCAGGTTGGGGTTTCATCTTTGACACTGACCAGCTACATCCCTTCCATTTTTTTCAACCTCAGTTTTCTTGTCTGTAAGGTGAGGACAATCATTTTATCTCAAAGGATTGTGGGGTGTGTTTTTTAAATGAAGAATGCAAATAATTGTTGTGAGAGAGTAAAGTGCTACACAACCTACACGATCTGTTTTTTATCTTTTATAAAGTTATAGAACTGTCAGCATTTTGCATATGACCTGTCAGCGTATGACCTGTCAGCGTATGACGGTTGGTGATATGGATCAAGTTACCTAACAGGGCATAGAGTTTGAAAGCAGGTTGGGGTTTCATCTTGGACACTGACCAGCTATATCCCTTCCGTTTTTTTCAACCTCAGTTTTCTTGTCTGTAAAATGAGAACAATCATTTTATCTCAAAGGATTGTGGGGTGTTTTTTTTTAAATGAAGACTGCAAATAATTGTTGTGAGAGAGTAAAGTGCTATACAACCTACACGATCTGTTATCTTTTATAAAGTTATAGAACTGTCAGCATTTTGCATATGACCGTTGGTGATATGGATCAAGTTACCTAATTTCCTTATATTCATTCAGGCACTGTTTTAGGAGCTGGGAATGCAGCACGCAACAAAACAATGTCCTTACATTTGGGAAATTTAGACCCTAATAGCTATATTACACATAATAATCAGGAAGGGACAGATAAGGCATGGTAAGGTAAATAGAAATTTGTGTGAAGGGTGGTGGAATTTTATTTTGGGTGGTTAGGGAACAATTTAATGAGAAGGTGACATCAGGACAGAGACCTGGAGGTGGTAAGGGAGTGAGTGCATCATGAAGATAAAGGGAGGAGGAGGCCCTGAGCTTAGAGCGTGGCTTGGTGTGTTCCAAGCATGTACAGCAAGGAGGGCTGGTGGCTGGAGGGTTCTGAGCAAAGGGGATAGGACTAAGAATGGGAATGAAAACAAGTGGAGACTGGGATCAAATAACTAGGACCCTGTTGGCCATTATAATGATCGTGGGTTTTACTCTGACTAGTATTCTCAGTGGCATAATCTGTCACTGTTTTAAAGGGATCACTTTGACTACTCTTTTGAGGAAAAGCAAATACTGGAAGCAAGGTTGAAAGCATACCTACCATCTGGTAGCTTTCACAGTAATCCAGCTGTATTATCTATTTTGTGTGTGTGTGTGTGTGTGTGTGTGTGTGTGTGTGTGTGTGTGTGTGTAAGTAATTAGCCTAAAATTTAGTAGCTTGAAACAATCATTTATTATCTTATATGTTTGTGGGTTGGAAATTCGGGAATAGCTTAGCAGCATGTTTCTAGCTTAGGATCTCCCAGGAGATTGCAGTCAAGCTGATGGTTGCTCTGCTTCCAAGATGGTCCCTTACCACTGAGCTGCCCGAGTCTCCTCAGGACACAGGGGGGAGAGCTGGAGTGCCTTTTATGACCTCGCTCCGGAAGTCATTTCTGCTTTATTAGCTTCATTAATTTATTCCAGCTCACTAAGGGGAGAAAATTAAGGTTGATGGAGAAAAGGTCTGAAGCCTCTGGGGCCTCCAACTTTTGGGGAGATGAGGAGAGCCAGCAAAAGAGACGGAAGGGAGAGGCCAGAGAGGTGGGAGGAAATCAGAGAGAAAGAGGCCCCAAGTATGAGATTCATCTAAGGAGCTGCATGTTAATTTTTTTTTTCTGCAGTAAGAAACTAATTGTCTCTGCAGACTAATATATATAGTTTCTTTGCTCAGAAAATAAAACGTTTATGCCCTCAATTGTTTTTCCTTTCTTTCTTTAAGTGACAAATTCTATTTAATAATAGTCCACATCTTAGTCCTTGCAGCATTTACACCTCTACTTCAAGTTTAGGTGGTGATGCTTCTATTTTAAACTTCATTTAAATACTCCTTTTTGAGTATTTTGAATGAGGGAAGACCAAATACATAACTTATGTCACTCTTCTACCGCTGTCCACCCAGGCTCAGAGGCTCCTGCCCTCCCAGTCTGGTTCCTAGCAAAAGTAGGAAGTTGGCCTTGTTCATTTCTGTATCACTGGTAGACAGACTACCTGATACTGAGCTGGAGTTCGTGAGGGTTTATGGGATAAATTAATGTATAAAAGAAGTGATTCTTTTTCCTTTTCCTACAGTGATGATAATGTCTATCCGGTGGTTTACAGTTTACAAAGCACAGTGACATCCATTATCCCATTTGAATGCAATCCAGTCTGGTACCATTTGCCAACTTCTGTCCTTTTCCTTTTCTGAGGGACATTGAAACCTGCCTTCTTCTGGAGCTGTGCTAGTTTATTTTCTGGCTGATCTGGCAGTGTGTTAGTAAAAGGGTGCTGAACTGCATCTAGAAGCTCAGAACTAAATCTCAATTTCAGAATTGATGTAATTTACTATGCTCCCTCCCTCTTTTTCTTGTTTTAGGGAATTCAGTTTTATAGGGATTTTTGTTTGTTTGTTTTAGTCATAAAACACTTCAAATCATTTTTAAAATAAACTTAATTTTGGGGGAACAATTTTAGATTTATAGAAAAATGTCATAGTACAGAGAGTTCCCATATACCCAGCACCCAGTTTTCCCTGTTAGTAGCATCTTACATTATTAGGATGGTGCATTTGCTGCAATTTCAAATCATTTTCTGAGGTAAAGAGGCCACATAAATAAAATGTGAACAAAATGAAGTTACTTCAACTCTGTAAGCCTCAGTTTCCTTATTGTCAGATTAGAGGTTTGGACTAAATTTATAAATAGCTCTAAAAATAATTATCTGCTAAGGTAAAATAATTATATAATTCCATTTCTTCATTGAAGTATTACTGTTACGTTCTCAAATAATGTTTACATGTCAACAGCAGTCTTATCTTAAAGGAGGATTTACTATGAGAATTCTGGTAACTGGCATGGCTTCGTATACACATTAGATTGAACTACATGAAATTAGCATTTTCACAGGTTCAAAAAATGGGCAAGCATTGGCAATTTCATTAGGTTCAACCCAATATTTGGGAGGTGAGGATTCAAAGAAGGGTAAGGGAGCCTGTGGGGCCTCTGAGACTTCCACTGTGTGCAAAAGCCCAGCCCAGCCCTCACAGTGTTAGGAGAGAAAAGGCTTTCTTAGAGCTACTCATGTTGGTATTGTTGGCACTCAGAGCTATTTCCCGACAGGTTTGTGCCTCCAACCAGCAGAGAGATTGAACTGGCAACTTACAGAGCCATGGTGAGCTGGTTGACACTGCCTTGGTGGAAAGGAAGATGTATGGAGCAGGGGAAGGCTGCATTAACCCAGTTTATAGGCTCGGAAGAGGCTGCCTGGGGTATTGGTACCACTAAGCCTTGATTGGTGCCACTCAGTTCTTCCTACTTGATGCACTTTCCTTCCTGTCTAGCACAAGCTCTGCAGTTGCCCAGGAGGCAATGTAAGTTAGTAAACTGAGTTTTCCTCTTTAACGCTGTTGTAAGAAAAACACCAGCACAAGTATAATGGTAAATGACACTGAAATCTGCTATCAGTGTGAGGGAGAGAATAGGCTGGGGTTGGGGAAGGGAGGCAGAGACTGGTGAACTCTTGTTTATATCAGTTAGCCTATGTTAAAATTGGTTTTGTTAAACATCGTTTTACTTCAAGTCATAGAACCTGTGAATGGCATTAAATGAGGATTTACTGTATTGTAATTGTGTCTATCTCCCTTGATAGACTGACATCACCTTTAGTGATTCATTCATCAGATGTTTATTAGGCACTGTGCCAGGCACTAGGGATGCAATGGTAAGCCAGGAGCTCTTGGTCTAATGCAGAGTTTCAAGAGGCATGCCAGGAAACACTAGTCCTGTGAACCTGGTCATGGTCAAATAAATTTAGGAAATAATGATCATCTAAGCTTTCCTTGGAGATTGGGGTCCATCTTAGTATTATAAAGGCACTGAGGGGTACTGTAGTGAAGGAACCTATTTATTTTGCCCAACCCAGCTTTGTGGGACTGAATGAGTATTTGCTGAATAAATTTGAGTCTTGCAGACAGTACTTTTAACTACACTGTGTGCTTTGGTCCCCAGCACAAGAGGAGGTCCAAGTGGCACAGCAATGATTAGAGACCCTTCTGGGAGCAAACAGCCTCTGGCTGCATAGGGGCCTGTGGGCTTATCGCCTGGTGCCTCCATGGAGACAGGAGGCCCTGGATTGAACAGTATGAAGCCCCAGTCACTGCAGCTGGTGCTGGAGGATCAGGTGCTGGCGCTACAGCAGCAGATGGCAGAGAACCAGGCAGCCTCCTGGCGGAAGCTGAAGAGCTCCCAGGAGGCCCAGCAGAGGCAAGCAGTCCTTGTGAGGAAGCTGCAGGCCAAGGTGAGGCAGCTGCCTTTTCAGGGAGGGAAAAGAGAAGGACACCTCCTAGAGCTGGGTGCTGAGGTGGGGTAAGGGTTGCAGGTGGCAGAACCGTGTGGTGAGAATGTCCCAAACAGCCTCTCCTTTGATACTCACCATTACTCCATGAGATATATATTGTCTCCCTTTTATCTTTTTATTATTATATTTAATCCTGACCTGAGGATGTTTTTTCTATTGATGTTCAGAGAGAGAGAGTGGAAGGGAGGGAAGAGGGGGAGAGAGAGCAAGAGAGAAACATTGATGTGAGTGAGACACATTGACTAGTTGCCTCCCATACACGCCCTGGGGATCAAACCTGCAACCAAGGTACAGGCCCTTGATTGGGAATTGAACCCACAACTCTTTGGTCCAGGGGCTGATGTTCTAACCACTGAACCAAACCGTCCAGGGCTATATTATCTCCCTTTTAAAGATGGCGTTCTTGAGGGTTAAATTAGTTGTCTAGGGTTGCTTCCCTAGTCTAAACCTAGGACCTACTATACGTTTTCTGGTTCCAAAGGCCATGATCTTGCCTTTAATACAAGAAATGTAGAGAAAGTATTTTTTTAAATATATTTTTATTGATTTCAGAGAGGGAGAGAGAGAGAGAGAGAGAGAGAGAGAGAGAGAGAGAGAGAGAGAAAGAAACATCAGTGATGTGAGAGAATCATTGACTGGCTGCCTCTTGCACATCCCACACTGAGGATCGAGCCCGCAACCTGGGCATGTGCCCTGACTGGGAATTGAACTGTGACCTCCAGGTTCATGGGTCGATGTTCAACCACTGAAGCACACTGGCTGGGCAAGAAAGTATTATTTAGATACCCACATAGAAACTATAAGATGTTGGGGGTGGGTAGCGGGGGGCTGGAGGAGGTCAATGGGGGGGGGGGGGAAAAGAAACTATAAAATGTTATGGCCTTACCTCAATGTCATCACCGACTCCCCTGTTCACAGCAGATTTGCCCACGATTCTTGGGGCTTTTGCTTTGGGCAGTTTGTACCAGCTCTGCCCATTGCTCACATCCTGCTCTGTTTGCTTCAGGTGTTGCAGTACCGGAGCTGGTGCCAAGAGCTGGAGAAGCAGCTGGAAGCCACTGGGGTGAGTGAGGCTGTTCTGTGCTCCCACTGAACCCTCAGTGAATATGCTTGTCAGGCTTCGCTTGCCGAGAGGGGTTGGGTGTGATAAGGCGGTGTTTGACAGAAGCCTCTTTCTTCAGCCCCTGAGAGCTTTGTCATGCAGGTACCTTATTGGACCTAGCTACTTCTGGCCTGTCAGACTTCAACCTTTGGCTCTCTACGGACAAAATGCAGCATCAGGAGATTTGATCAGATTGGAAGTTTTATGGAATCAGAGGGAAGAAATGCATTTTTCCTCCAGAAGGTGTCAGTGTTTCTCTGTCCTAGAGAGATGTGTGCCTTTGCAGCCTAAAAACCATATTTGTGGCAGAGGGATTTGTTTGTGCTTTTGGCTGGGTAGAACTGGCTTTCAACAACTCATTTGCCTTTGTTCCACCTCCCTCTCAGTGCCATCTCACATTCCCCTTGGAAGATTCTCTCAGAGGAACGAAAGAACCAACATTTACTGAGTACTAGTCTATGTAGGCCAGGAACCATTGTTATGTAATTATATCACTTAATCTGCAAAACAACTTTCTGAGAGGGATTATATTACCTTCATTTTGTAGCTAAAGATTTTGTGGTTCAGAGAAGTTAAGTAACTTCCCAAGGTCCAAAAATTAGTGTGGTAGAAGTCAAAGCCATCAGTGAAAGATATATCTTACGCTTCTTAGGTTGAAGTTCTTTTCGCTACCAAATGCCGTCTTCCAGGGCAAGTCACAGTTCACTTTTGGAGAAAGGGATGCAGTGGACTTACTTTCAGGATGCAGTGATTGAGAAAAGAGGCATACTGCAAACAAAGGGAAGGGAGAATAAAAAGAAAGTGGCTGCTGTAGAAGAGGGCATCAGGGAATTGGTCTGAGTGATGTTCTCTTTGGAGGTAAATTAGGCTTGTCTCTGTCTGGCTAAGGGACCGATCCCTCAGATGTGGGACAGTGTGAAGGAGCCAAACTTGGAACAGCTGCTAATGCGATTGGAGGAGGAGCAACAGAGGTGATGGACCCCACATTCTCTGTCCTGGGTGCTTGGTTAGTGGGTAGAAAAGGCTGATGGGGAACTTCTGTCCTGGGGGCTAACATAGATTAAAATCATGGACTTTCAGCCTTAGCCCTCCAGTCTTGGCACTGGAAAATTCCAGTGGTTGTCATCTTACTCCAGGAAGTCCAGTGGTTGGACCAGACCTTTATTTTGCACTTGCTCTTACCCTTCCCCAGTGCAGGTGTGAGAGTCTAGCAGAGGTAAACACTCAGCTTCGGCTACACATGGAAAAAGCTGACGTGGTCAATAAAGCACTTCGGGAAGATGTGGAAAAATTGACAGTAGATTGGAGCCGGGCCCGGGATGAGCTGATAAGGAAGGAGAGCCAGTGGCGGATGGAGCAGGAGGTAGGAGGGACGGGGCTGGGACTGAGAGGAGGGCTTGCACTCTGGGCACTACCCTGGTCAGTGCTGGAAGGGGTTTACTTGAGGACTTGGATAGAAACTGGGCTGTCGTCATTAAAGTCTCTGACCATCCCCCCCACTCATGCTGGCAGCTGACCCTGCTTGGGCCTTCAGCTTAGTTCTGCCCTTACTTGCTTAGTTGAGATTTTGCTGGCAGATGACATGACACTCAAAGCGACTCTGTCCCTGTGTAAGTAGACTAGCTTAGGTTGTAGATGGATCTGAAGTTACTGACTCCCTCATCTGGAGGTCTGCAGATGTAGATGCTAAGGAGGTAGCTATTGAAATCGAATGGGGAAGAAGTACCAGATATGGACCCTAAGGAATTTCCAGATCCCAGTTAAAGGACACTAATGTTTTCTGAGTCTTCACTCTGTGCCAGGTATTATATATTATGATAGGTGATTTAAGATATGTTACATGATTTAATACTCATTATAAGTCTAATAACAATGGTAATAGATCCCATTTGTTGAGCAGCTACTGTTTATCCTTTTCTAATCTAGCTCAAAGGAAGGCCAGAAATGCAGGTCATATATCCCAGGCCCTTTGATCTCTTGAATCCCTCTACTGACTTGATTAAGCTCTTCAGCCCAACTTGAGGATAGATACCCATTTATAAGCTATCTCCTATAAGTCCCTCCTTCCCTCCCCCTCAGTAGTTAGAAGGAATTCAAGACTCCTGGTTTGGCAAAAGATAGCCCTCTGCCCTTTGGTATGACCTGGGTTTCTGGACACACAGTTCTTCAAGGGCTACCTGAAAGGGGAGCATGGTCGCCTTCTCAGTCTGTGGCGGGAGGTGGTGACCTTCCGACGCCACTTCCTGGAAATGAAGTCAGCCACTGACAGGTTAGTGGGGCACTGAGTGGGGAGGTGGTTTGCCTCTACCATTCTGGACTTAGGATGGTGGGCTGCTGTTGGAGGGGATCAGATGACAGAGGGCAGGGGTGGGGGTAGGTGAGTGGAAATGTTGGTGGGGAGGGCTGGTGCTACTGGATTCAGATGATTTCTCCTCAGGCTTCGCTGGGTCTGATCTCCATGCTCCCTTCCCTGGTCCCTATTGGAGTCTGCTCTTTCCTTGCTTGTACTCAGAGACCTGACGGAGCTCAAGGCTGAACATGCGAAGCTTTCAGGGTCCCTGTTGACCTGTTGTCTGCGCTTGACTGTGGGAACACAGTCTCGGGAATCTGATGGATCTGGGCAACTAGATGGGAGTGCGCCAGCCCAGCTGCTGCTGCTACTAGCCAAGACCCAGGAACTGGAGAAGGAAGCCCATGAAAGGAGCCAGGAGTTAATACAGCTGAAGAGTCAAGGGGATCTGGAGAAGGCCGAGCTTCAGGATCGGTGAGATGGGCTGGGGTCCAGAAGGGGGTCACTGAGGGGAAGTTGACTCCCATAGGGTGTGAGAGATAGTGGAGGAGATGTGAAGAGCATTCTTCCCATGAAAGGGGAAGGAGATTGCCAGAGGGAGTCTAGTTTGAAATGCAATGCCACAGCTGGGGCCATGTCACTGCCCTCTGCCCTCAGACTACCTTGCAGCTCAGTTTCTCACCTGTTGACTGATAGAGCTAGCTATGACTCTGTCTTCTGTCAACACCAAACTACTTGCCATCCCCAGACCAGCCGAGCTCTTCCATGTCTCACTGCCGTTGTCCATGCTGACCTTAGCCTGCAATGCCTCCTTCCCCTTCTCTCTGCCTTATCCTTTAAGACAGTTCAGATGTCACCTCTTCTGTGAAGCCTTCTCTGACCTCAACAGCCTGTTAAATTATGCTCATATTGGTCTTTTGACCTGCTTGTTGCAGCATTGATCTCATTGTAGCTCGTTGATTATTTAGTTTCCTTTTTTATTAGATTTTTTTATTTTTATTTTTTGGATTATAATCAAAAAGATTTTTTTTTTTAAAAAAAATGTTGATAAGAAGGACAGGGACTTAAACAAAGAGCCCCTTTGAATCTCAGGACAAAGTTCAGTATTTTTATTTTTTGGATTATAATCAAAAAGATTTTTTAAAAAATGATGATAAGAAGGACAGGGACATAAACAAAGAGCCCCTTTGAATCTCAGGGCAAAGTTCAATTTATACCCCATGGCCAGGGTTGTATCACCACCTATTGGTGGTGTCCATAAATTGCAGTTTGTTTGGTTTGGTTGTGAAGGCCCTGGAAAGCATGGCAGAGACCTTGTCTTAGTACGTTTTGTGTCCCCCGTGTTTTGCACTTTTTCTGCCATATAGTACATACTCAGTAAATGTTTATTGAATGATGCAATAATTAAATGAATGACCATGCAGTGAGTTAAGGCTCCTAGAGTTGGTACAGAATAAATGATTAAGACTTTGAAAAAAATGAAGACTCCTAGATGACATTAATTCAAGAAATATTTCTTTAGCTACCCACGTAACACCAGGTACTGAGCTCCAGGATAGTGTTAAAGTGATAAAGATATATGGTGATTTTCCTGGGAGGTTAACCATAATCTCCCCCAAGTTGCCCCTCCTTTTTTCCTATCAGAGAACCTTGGGACTATCCCATGTGGCAATTCTGATGTTCTTATTGACTTCAGGGTGCTTGACTTCAAGATCAAGCGGGGCCTGGAAGGGCCTGGGCCAGGGCTTACCTTCAGCTCTCAGGCCCACAAACACGTGTTCCAGCCTTGAGATGTGGTAAATCCCTGCATGTGTCTGAGTGGCTTTTGGCTTCCCCCAGTTCAAAACTATAGCATCCTGTGGTATTCAGGGAGTGCAGGGGCTGTGGGCACCCGGGGCTCTGTGGGGGCTACAGTGGGAGTGTCTGTGCTGGGCATGGGGTGTGCTGCATAGTAGCTCTGTTCACATCAGTGGGATGCCCAGATGACAGTGCTATGCTCTCCTCTTCAGGGTGACCGAGCTCTCTGCTCTTCTGACCCAGTCTCAGAAGCAAAATGAAGATTACGAAAAGATGGTGAAGGCTCTGAGAGAGACGATGGAGATCCTGGTATATGAACCTGTGTTCTGGAAAGGAGGTGGGAGTGGGCTTGTAGATTCCTTGACCTTCATGAACAGGTAGTACTGGGTACAGTTAAATCTCTCTCGATGAAACCCCCTAAAGCTAGAAAATAAATATTGGCTGAATCTGAAAATTAATTAACTCATTCATTTATTCATTCAAGAAATATTAACTGTCTACTATCCTACTGTATTCCTGGGGAGACTACAATGGTATATGTATGCAGTGTGTCCTTATCAGAGAGAGTGGGACTGTTTAAGGGCACACTGGCAAACTAGGAAGGGGATGTGTGGAGAGATGCAAAACCTAGTCATAAAGGAACCAACTGGGGAGTGTGGCAAGGTTAGCCCAGAGAAGGAAGGCTTGAGGAAGCCGTGATGGCTGCCTTCACATACCTGAAGGACCGACACTGAGGCGAGGAGTTGACTTGTTTAATGTTTTCCAGATGGGCACAAGCAATGTCAGTGACTAGAAGTTACAGATTGGTAGGGTTTGGCTAACAGCTAGAGCTTTTCAGTAGTTGAATGGTCTATCTTGGGAAGGAGCAAGGTGTGTGTCACTAGCTTGACATCTGCCAAGGCTGTTATCAAAGGGATTCTCTCAGGTTGGGCGCTAGAACTGCTGGCTTGATCCCACATTTCCTTTCATCTCCAAGAGTTTTCAGACCTCTGGTTTTAGGCAGATTCTGAACCCTTACCCACAAGCATACCCCTAGGATCTCAGCTGGGATCAGCTGGGAGCTGGATATGTTTATGCCTTTTTGGTTCCTGTTTGTCAGGAATTTGAAAATTCAAATGTCTGCAGGGTCCAGATAAGGTAAAGTGAGTAAAGTGGGTCAGTGGTAAGAATTCTGGTTTTTTCCAGGGCTACCATATTTAGTTTTCAGTATAGAGAGCACTTGATCTTGGTGTTAAGAAAACAGTGAGGAGTAGCAGGATCTACAGGACCCTGAAGAATACGTGTTTCATCTGGAAGAGGTATCCACTGCTCACTTAAGTAAATTATTGCCATGTAGGAATGAGGGCTGGTATGGCCCATTTGTTACGTTTTTGAGAAGCCAGAAATTCAAATCTCAATTCATAAAATCTCTCAATTTTGTAAATGTTGGTCCAACAAAACATCGCTACAGGTATATGTCATTAGGCCTTCACTAACACAATATGATAGGAAGGAAGAGAGGAAATCTTGTTTTTAACTATATTTTTATTATTGATTTCAGAGAGGAAAGGAGAGGGATAAAGAGATAGAAACATCAATGATGAGAGACAATCATTGATTGGCTCAGGTCTCCTACTGGGGATTGAGCCCGAAACCCAGACATGTACCCTGACCGGGAATCAAACCATGATCTCCTAGTTCATAGGTCGATGCTCAACCACTGAGCCAAGCTGGCTTTAGTCTTAAGCATCATTTTGCTGTTTAGAGACAGTAGCCATCCTCCAATGACAGCTCACATTTATTGAGCATTTGCTTTGTGCCAGGCATTATGTTGAGTAATTTTTTCCATTTAAGCATCAAAACCTGTGAAGTAGTTACTGCTAATTATTTGTTTTAAAGAGAAGGAAGCTCAAAGGAGCAGTTACCTAAAGTTACCAAGTTAGTAACTGATAGAACAAGAACTCTGATCTAGGCAGTCTAGTTTGGAGCTCTTAATCACCAAACTGAGCTCTTAATCACCACATCCTATTGTCTTCAGTCTCCCGGGACGACATTAGCATTCATGCATGGTCAGGAAAAAAGTGGGTTAACAGAATAGACAGAATGAGACTCTAGTTGATTTGGGGCCTTGGAATGATAAATTCTTTTCTGAGAATTTGGCTCTTAGGTCCTATTTTGTTCCCTATTCAGGAGACAAATCATGCAGAATTAATGGAGCATGAGGCATCTCTTAGTAGGAATGCCCAAGAGGAGAAGCTGTCATTACAGCAAGTGATCAAGGATATAACCCAGGTACTGGCAGACCTTCTGTTCATGATGACCAGGTTATGCCTCACTCCTCCCCAGGCTTCCCAGTCATGCCTACATTTCCACTCTCTGAGGTGTTTGGACTTAGGATCCTGTGGGATGATTTCTCTCAGCGTATTTTAAGACTGGAACCTTAGGAGTAGCTGAGCATTCGTGTGTTCGTTCTGCTTGCTGGAACAGGCTCCCCCTTCCCCTGTTACTTTCCTCCATTGATTTCTAGAGAGTGGGAGGGAGGGAGGCTAGAGAGTAACATCGATTGGTTGCCTCCCGCACGTGCCCCTACCAGAGCTGGGGAACCTGCAACCAGGACCCTTCAGTCCATGGACTGACACTCTAACCACTGAGCAACACTGGCTAGGGCCAGGTTTCCTTTTCTTATTGCCACCTGTAATTCTCAGGCCCGTGGCTGGGTTCTGGTCTACGTTACCTCAAGAGCCTCTTCTTCCTTCATTTCACCATTTATTACCTCGGAGAGTGCTCTAGCCTTGCTAGTCCTAGGTTTAGGTGACCGAAGGTGAAGAGTTGAAGGAACCACCTGTTTTGCTCTTAGATACCCTCTTCCCACCCCCTAGGGAAAGGACCCAAGAAGGAAACCATCAGGTTTGTCCAGCCTGTGGTGTTAGTACTTGTGTGGACTCTGGTCCTTGCTCACCAGAGTGGTGAGCCTGCTGTGCTGGGTTTTAGGTCATGGTGGACGAAGGGGACAATATGTCCCAAGGCTCTGGTCACGAGAGCACCTTGGAGCTGGACTATAGTGACTTCTCCTCCCAGTTTGACTCCCAGGACCCAGACAAGGCTGTAACTCTGGTGCGTTCAGTGCTGACTCAGAGACGCCAGGCTGTGCAGGTAAGAACCCCAGATTCCTCCTCAACCACATGGGTGGGTATCTAGAGTGATATGTGCCCCAGGTACCCTCCTAGCCTGGACTGCCCCTTTCCCTATGTTGACCAGTCATGAGGTGTTTTGTCAACACCCCAAAGTGCCCATTAGAATCTCTCTGTGTCTGCCCAGTTGTACTGGTGGGTAACAGGCACATTCTCTGTGCCAGTCAATGCAAAGATTGGTGATCGAAGCCCTGGGAGAGTATGGGTGAGTGTGCCCCAATTCTAAGCCCCCCCCCCAACACACACACACACACTATATATATATATATATATATTTGAAGGTGATGAACTCTGAGACTCCAGGAGCCACAGAAGCTCAATAATCTCTGATCCTCTGTCTTCTCGACTGGTCGCATCTCTTCCTAGCTTACCCGTGTCGTGGCAGCCCCCAAGCCCTGCCTAGCTCTCCATTCAGGCTCTGACATCCCTCCTCTCCCTGCCCTCTTGTTCACCATCTCACTTCTGCTACTCTTCCTGCACAGGACCTAAGGCAGCAGCTTTCAGGCTGTCAGGAAGCTGTGAGCTTCTTGCAGCAGCAGCATAATCAGTGGGAGGAAGAAGGTGAGGCCTTGAGACAGCGGTTACAGAAGCTCACTGGGGAGCGGGACACTCTGGCAGGGCAGACTGTGGACCTCCAGGGAGAAGTGGACTCGCTCAGCAAGTGAGCAGGGGCTGCTCATTCCCCCCTTCCTCCCCGGGCTCAGTTCTTGCCTGGCCATTTACCCTCTTCCATCGTGTTTCTGGTTGGCTGCCCGGCTCTCCCTGAAACCCAGGGCTGCTCAGGGCTGCCTTGCTTTGTGCTCTGCTTGTTCCTGCTCACTCAGTTTTGGGTTCTTGTGGTGATAAAAAAGTGTCTTGCTTAAAAGGGAAGATGAGAAATTTAAAGGAAACAGATGCCTCTGTCCTTTAACCCTGTGATGTCTGCTTCCAGGGAGGACTCTAGGTTCCAAGGTCTCTGCTCATCTCTGGTTCCTTCTTCCAGGGAGCGAGCGCTCCTGCAGGAGACCAGGGAAGAGCTGCAGCAGCAGCTGGCGGTGCTGGAGCAGGAGGCCTGGCGCCTGCGCAGGACAAACATGGAGCTGCAGCTGCAGGGGGACTCTGCTCAGGGCGAGAAGGAGGAGCAGCAGGAGGAGCTGCACCTGGCTGTCCGGGAGAGGCAGCGCCTGTGAGTGTGACCCGTCCCTTCTCACTGGGCTTGATCTTCCCTTCATTTTTTAAAAAATATATTTTTATTGATTTCAGAGATGAAAGGAGGGAGAGAGAGATAGAAACATCAGTGATGAGAGAGAATTATTGATCTGCTGCCTCCTGCACACCCCACACTGGGGATTGAGCCCACAACCTGGTCATGTGCCCTGACCGGAAATGGAGCCGCAGCCTTCTGGTTCATAGGTCGATGCTCAACCACTGAGCCACGCTGGCCGGGTAGTCTTCCATTTAATTCCACACCCTCCTCACCACTCCCCTCTCTTAGAAAATGGAGTAAATAGAAGCCTGGTGTGAAGTGGGTTCAGATTAGCTTACTACTCCTTCCTTTGCAAAAAGATGAATACAGAAAGTTCATCCAGGCTTTGCTCAGCACCTGTGGGGAAACAGAAATAAATAAGACACAGGCCTTCATCTCAAGCAGTTTGCAATCTGATGGGGAAGACAGACAAGAACTAATTGTAGCATGAGGCCAGATGAAGTATCAGCTAAATAGAGTGTCAGGCCAGGAGCATAGGAATAACAATTAATTATTGAAAGCTTCATGGAGAAGAGGGTAGACTTTGAGTTGGGCCTTGACATATCTTGATTTGTGGAGAGGGGAAGAAGGGCTAAAGGAGTAGGTTAGCAAAGAAAAGGAGGCAAGAAGGTTTATGGTGTGTTCAGAGTAGCCTGGCTGGATAAAGGGTAGGACTTACCCTGGAAAGTAGTGGGAAATGAGCTGGTCAAGAAAGGGAGTTCCCACCCTAGTCAGTGTGGCTCTATGGATAGAGTGTTGGCCTGTGGACCGAAGGGACCCGGGTTTGATTCCAGTCAAAGGCACATACCTTGATTGCAGGCTCCTCCCCAACCTGGGCCCTGATCAGGGCATGTGCAAGAGGCAACCAATCGATGTGTTTCTCTCACATTGATATTTCTCTGTCTCCCCCTCTCTCTTCCACTCTCTCTAAAAATCAATGGAAAAATAAACTCAGGTGAGGATTAAAAAAAAAAAAGAAAGAAAGAAAGATAGTTCCAGAGTAAAGAGACCCAGCTAATCTGTAAAAAGTAAGGCTTTTCAGGCTGAGCAAAAGCTTGGTTTAAATTATGGCTCTGCTACTTGGACAGTTTACTTTATTTGTAAAATGGGGGTGATAATATTTACCTTGAAGAGTCGTTGGGAAGATTAGTGTTTTTGCAAAATGCCAATGGAGAGCCCTGCATACGGTAGGGCTGCATTTGTGTAACTGGTGGCAGGAACTGTACCTTCTTCACCTCTGGTATAATCCCTCCTCCCCTGTGCCCTACCTCCTTGCACCTAATAAGTACGAATAGTGGATTCTTGAAGGATTACTATAAGGATCATGACTTGTGCAAGGAATGGTTCTTCCTGTACCAAGGAGAATTATTAACAATCCATAAAAAAAAAGCACATTTTAAAATTTAATTTGTTTGAATTGATAATACTTTTATCAATACTTGTATGATTCAAAAGTCAAAACTATTTTAAAAGACATACACAGAGCCTGACTGGTGTGGCTCAGTGGTTGAGTGTTGACTTATGAACTAGGAGATCATGGTTCGATTCCCAGTCAGGGCACATGCCTGGGTTGCAGGCTCAATCCCCAGTAGGGAGCGTGCAGGAGGCAGCCAATCAATGATTCTCTCTCATCATTGATGTTTCTATCTCTCTCCCTTCTTCTCTGAAATCAATAAAAATATATTTTAAAATAAATAAGTAAAAAGATTTACACAGAGAAAGTCTTACTCCCCCCTGCTTCATTCATTCCATTTTCCTTCCTTCTTTAGGTAATCATTTAAATTAATTTTTAGTTGTCTTTCCAGTGCTGCTTTATGCAAACTATGTATAATTCTTATTTTCCCCAATATCTTGTATATACTACATACACTGTTCTGCACCTTCCTTTTTTTGTCACTTTATGTCTTGGAGATCTTATCATTTATTAGAGACCTTCAGTTTTTTTTGCATAGCAAAGGTAATTATATTCCTGTTACCTTTTGTCACATGGCCACTCTGTAAGACTTCCTCTAGCCCCATCTCCTTCCCACCTTAGTCAGGAGATGCTGGCCGGCCTGGAAGCGAAACAGTCAGAATCACTCAGTGAACTGATCACTCTTCGGGAAAACCTGGAGTCAAGTCGCCTGGAAGGGGAGTTGCTGAGGCAAGAGCAAACCGAAGTGACCGCAGCGTTGGCGAGGGTGCGTAGGCCTCCTCTCACCTCATTCTTAACCCTGCAAGCCAGATCCTTTATATTTTTTGCCTCAATCACTAGTCTGTGCTTTTGGGTTCTTTCCCTGCCAATATACTCTCTATCTCAGAGTTAGAATGGTTTTCTGAAGTATAAATATGTCAGCCTCTTTTCTAAAACAATTTAATGCCTTCCTAGCTCCTTGGAGCTGCATTCAAAGCCCTTTGCCATCTGCCTCAAACTGTTTCTAGCCTCCCCTTCATTCCAAATCCCTGTCCTAGCTCCTCATATGCCTATACTCCTGCCACAAAGCATGAATTGCAATTTCAGTTCCACCATGTTCTTTCATAACTCTAATACTTCATGACTCTAATTCTTTCATGACTCTAACTGCTTCTTTCCTCCCCTTTTAACCACAAACTGTTCCTTATCTCAGTATCCAACTTAATGGTCAGCTCTTCTCCAAGCATATTTGATTCTCCCAAACTGAATCAGTGCTTTCTTTGGGTTCCCAAAGCACTTTGGCTTACATTGTCTATGATGTCATTCCAGTTGTAGTTGTTTACATCCCGCTGTCTGTGCCTCTATACTGTGAGCTCTTCTTACTCCTCAGTGAATGAAGAAATGAATGAATGAATGGAAAACTTGGTTAGACTGTAAGGGAAGGAATGGAGTGTTAACTAATCTCTGCAAGGAAAGCAGCAGGTGCTGGGGATGTGAGCTGTGAGCTGTTGCAGGAAAACTGGAAGTAGGAAACCCTTTGACTCTCTTTGTTTTTAGGCAGAACAGTCCATTGCAGAGCTGTCGAGTTCTGAGAACAGCCTGAAGGCTGAAGTAGCTGATCTTCGGGCTGCAGCTGCCAAGCTCAGCGCCTTAAACGAGGCTTTGGCCTTAGATAAAGTCGCACTGAACCAGCAGCTTCTCCAGGTGAGGGAAGCTTTTTCTGATAAACGGGGTAGGGCTGGGCCCAACTGAGGGTAAGCCAGTGACAGAAGCAGCTGTTGCCCATGACAAGGAGGAGTCCTTAAATGGATCAGCTCAAGGCAGATCAGCTCCCAAATGTAGTCCTGAAATGAGCAGAAAGAGCATTTATGGTGCAGAGGAGAGCAGACTATAAGGACTGGGCTTAGCCTTTAAACTACTCCCTTCCCTCACCTACAGCAGAACCGCCTTTGGGCTTTAGGGTAAAATCACCAGGGCTGGGAAAGAGGCCCGTGCCCTCAGGAAGGAAGACTAGGTTTTTATTTATTTAATTTATTTTTATTAGCATAACAATTTATTAGCCAACAAATGAAATGACACCTCTAGATCTCAACCCATATAGGATCTTAAATAATAAACATCACAAACACAGGAAGATTAGGGTTTCTTAAAATTGTTGGTAGTATTACAGATGTCTCCCGATTCCTCCCCTTTGTCCCCTTCCACCCAGCCCCACCCCACCCAAGCCTTCACTACATTATTGTGTCTATGGATGGGCTATGCATACATGCATATATGTTTTTGGTTAATCTCTCCCCTCCCCCCCCTCCCCTGTTCCCTTCAGATCTGTCAGTAATGATGTTTACTTTGAATTTATATTAGTTCACACAAACACTCCATCCATGCTTTTGTTCCGGCCCTTCGGTCCAGTTTAAGAACCCATTGTGGCCCTCGAGTCAAAAAGTTTGCCCACCCCTGGTCTATGGGCTATGCATACATGCATATATATTTTTGGTTAATCTCTCCCCTCCCCACCTCCCCTGTTCCCTTCAGATCTGTCAGTTTTTTTCCATGAATCCATGTCTTTGGACCCATTTTGTTCATCAGTTTATTTTGTTCATTCAGGAAGACTAGGTTTTTATTCCTGTTGCATAAGATACCAGCAATCACCAGAAAAGGATTTGCTGAAGAGCCTAAGTCTCAAAGCATTTTCTGTATGGGTTACAAATTTAGCATGTCTCTTTACTACCTGTTCCCTGAGCCCCAGAAATCTTTGATGTTTTCTTATTCTGAATTTTTTGAGAATAATATTTTGCCTTTTTATCTCTATCCCAAGCATCAGTCCATCTAATACCTGGAATATAGGCACTAGATCAAATGAATGCATTGTCCCCCTCTCTTATAAGCACTCCTGTGTTCATCTTTGGAGAATAGAGTCATATCTCACTTGGATTTCTGTCTCAGTGCTTGATCGCTAAACTAACCACTTGTCTTTGATGCCTTTCCCTTGTTGGTCAGTAGTTAGAACAGGAGAACCAGTCTGTGTGCAGCAGAATGGAGGCTGCAGAGCAGGCGAGAAACACTTTGCAGGTGGGCCTGGAAGAGGTGGAGAGGAGTAGGGAAGCCCTGTGGGAAAAGAACACTCACCTGGAGGCCCAACTGCAGAAAGCGGAGGAGACGGGGGCTCAGCTGCAGGCAGATCTCAGGGGCATCCAAGAAGAGAAGGAAGAACTTCAAGAGAAACTAAGCGAGGTAAGAAGACAAAATGCATACCATCTCGTTAAGGTATAATACATGCTCACTGCAAAACACTGCAGAGATGATTGAGAAAGTGATAAAGTCTTACTTCCTAGAAATGACCAGTGTTACTAGTTTGGGGAATATCTCAGTGGATAGAGCGTCGGCCTGCGGACTGTGTATGCTCTGGTAGTACCTTGTGCACATTTCAAACACCACACCTTCATACTATATAATAATTGTCTGTTTACCTGTCTCCACCATCAGAGCACAAGCTCCTTGAAGACAAGACTATATCTTATTTGCTTTTGTTCCTCCAGCTTATAGTACAGTGTCTAACACATAACAGGGGCTCAGTACGTTTTTTCTGAACCAATGACCTGCCTCAAAGGTCATCTTTCTCCTCCACCACACTTCTCATTGCCATAATAATTACACATAATCTCCCTTCTCAGAGTCCCTTTCTTAGGGCACTGATCACTTTCTTCCTGGTATTATGCATGTGTCTTCTCCTTAAGACTAAAAGCTCCTTAGAGGTAGGTCTCTTGCAGCCCTAGCACAGGGTCTTGCTCGAAGGAGAGCATGCTTCCTGTCTGGGGGCTTGATGGGTTGATAGAGAAATACATTAATGCTACTTGGTATGAGTGGGCAACTCTGGAGAGAATCCTGCCCGTGCTCTGAATCTCACCACTGTCTTCCCCTCAGGCACGTCACCAGCAGGAGGCAGCCTCAGCTCAGCTGGAGCAGCTACATCAGGAAGCAAAGCGACAAGAAGAAGTGCTGGCCCGGGAAGTTCAGGAGAAGGAGGCCCTAGTTCGGGAGAAGGCAGCTCTAGAGGTGCGGCTGCAGGCGGGGGAGCGGGACCGGCAGGACCTCTCTGATCAACTACTGGGGCTCAGGTAGGACCCAGACCCAGTTCAGCCAAGGGCAGAAGGAGCTTTTCAAGGCAAAGGGTAGCCAAGCTAAGTTCCCTGCCCAAAGTGTATGGGTTCTATATGAGTTATGAATTTGTGATTGCCCCCCTAACTTCTTCAAGTAGCCAGTACTTAGAACCCAACTCCTCTTAAGGAAGGGTAAGGGGCTTGATGGGTAAGAACTCTTTCTGATTCCTGAACCTGACAGCTCAGCCAAGGAGTTCCTGGAGAGCAGTCTGTTTGAGGCCCAACAACAAAATTCTCTGATAGAGGTCACCAAGGGGCAGCTGGAGGTCCAGATTCAAACTGTCACTCAAGCCAAGGAAGTAATCCAAGGTGAGAACCCAAATGGAATGGCCACACATGGGGATGTTGAAAGCCGGGAAGGCAGAGGGAAGCTATTAGAGGTCCTTCTCTAGCCAGGTTCAGGGCTTTTGGGATGGGAGTTGCTCAGAGGTCTAGGGAGAGGAGTTTTGTGTGTATGTTTTTAATTGATTTTTTAAAAAGAAAGATAAGAAGGGAGAGAAAGAGATAGAAGCATCGATGAGAGAGAAACATCAATCAGCTCCTCCTGCACAGCCCCACCAGAAATTGAGCCCACAACTCGGGCATGTGCCCTGACCAGGAATTGAACTGGCGACCTCTCGGTGAATGGGTCTATGCTCAACCACTGAGCAACACTGGCCCAGAGGGAGGAGGAGTTTTGGTTTTTTTAATAATATATTTTTTAAAATATATTTTTATTGATTTCAGAGAGAGAGAAACATCAATGATGAGAGAGAATCATCGATCAGCTGCCTCCTGCAAGCCCCCTACTGGGGATTGAGCCCACAACTCAGGCATGTGCCCTTGACTGGACTTGAACCCAGGTCGCAGGCCGTTGCTCTATCCACTGAGCCAAATCAGCTAGGGTGGGAAGAGGAGGTTTTAAAAGGAGGAGGGCAGAGGCTCAGAGATCAGATCCTGTCCCTTGCATCTTAGGAGAAGTAAGGTGCTTGAAGCTGGAACTGGACACTGAACGGAACCGGGCAGAGCAGGAGCGGGATACAGCAGCCAGACAGCTTGCCCAGGCTGAGCAAGAGGGGCAGACTGCTCTGCAGCAGCTGAATTCAGCTCATGAGGAGGAGGTGAACAGGCTCCAGGAGAAATTGGTAGGTGGTGGATGTGGCTAGGGGATGGGAGAGGCCTCCCTTCAGGGAGTGTTCCATCTGCTAACTCTAGATCCAGATATTACTGCTTATAAGAGTGAAATATGTATAAGATTAGCCTGGTTACCAAGGTGCCAACTCCTGCTTCCAGCTCTTTTTTTTTTTTTAATTTTGTTTTTTAAGTATAGTTTACAGTCAATATTATTTTGTACTAGAGGCCCGATGCACGAATTTGTGCACTGGTGGGGTCCCTCGGCCTGGCCTGTGGGGATCGGGCCGAAACCGGCAGTCCAACATCCCCTGAGGGGTCCTGGATTGTGAGAGGGTGCAGGCCAGGCTGAGGGACCCCACTGGTGCACGAATCCATGCACCAGGCCTCTAGTATGCATATAAGATCTTTGGTTAATCTCTTCCCGCCCTCCCCCCTCTCCCCTTCCCTCTGAGATTCATCAGTCTGTTCCATGTTCCCATGCCTGCAGCTTCTGCTCCTGTGTTGAGTGTCTGCCCTCTGGTGGTCAGTGCATGTCATAGCTACTGGTCGAATAGTCAGACAGTTGCTTGGGCTTTTATATATATAAATTTTTTATATATATAAATTACTTTCAGGCATATAGTGGTTATATTTTACAGTGTGTTCCCCCCATATTTCCAGTACCCACCTGGCACCATGCATAGTTATTACAACTTTAGTGACTATATTTATATGCTATACTTTACATCCCCTTGACTATTCTGTAAGTACCAATTTGTATTTCTTAATTTATTTCCCTTTTTCATTCACCCCCCTCCCCCATCCCAGGGGTCCTCAAACTTTTTAAACAGGGAGCCAGTTCACTGTCCCTCAGACCACTGGAGGGCCGGACTATAGTTTAAAAAAAAACAAGTCGGCTGCTAAGCAACAGGCAGTGGTGGCAAAAACACCCGGCAGGCCTGATAAATGTTTTCGGCGGGCCGTAATTTGAGGACCCCTGCTCTATCCACTGAGGCAAACTGGTTAGGGCCCAATGTGTACTTCTTAATTCCTTCACCTTTTTTATCCAAATCCTCAACCTCCCTCCCCTTTGGCATCCATTAGTCTGTATCTATGAGTCTATTTCTATTTTGTGTGCTCGTTGATTTTGTTCTTTAGATTCCACATATAAGTGAAAACATATGGTATTTGTCCTTCTCTGACTAACTTATTTCACTTAGCATAATACCCTCTAGTTCATCCATACTCTTGCAGATGGTGAGATTGCACTCTTTTTTATGGCCAAGTAATATTCTATTGTATGTATTTACCACAACCTTTAATCCACTTGTCTGTTTTCGGGCACTTGGGTTGCTTCCATATCTTGCCTATTGTAAATACTGCTGCAATGAACATACGGGTGCATATATTCTTTCGAATTAGTCTTTTGGGTTTCTTTGGTCTAGCTTCTAGATCTTAAATAAATAATATGTAAAAACTACTAATATGTAAAAAAACTAAGAATAGTTCCTGCCATATAGTGAACTCTGTATTATTATATGCTAGCTATTATCATTGTTGCGATATGTACAGATAATTAAATGCGGATCCTGGGATTTAGAATTGGCCCCAGGATGGACAGGGAGCAGAGGAATGCTGAAAACATATGGTATTTGTCCTTCTCTGACTAACTTATTTCACTTAGCATAATACCCTCTAGTTCATCCATACTCTTGCAGATGGTGAGATTGCACTCTTTTTTATGGCCAAGTAATATTCTATTGTATGTATTTACCACAACCTTTAATCCACTTGTCTGTTTTGGGGCACTTGGGTTGCTTCCATATCTTGCCTATTGTAAATACTACTGCAATGAATACGGGTGCATATATTCTTTTGAATTAGTTTTTTGGGTTTCTTTGGTCTAGCTTCCAGATCTTAAATAAATAATATGTAAAAAACATTAAGAACAGTTCCTGACATATAGTGAACTCTTTATTATTATATGCTAGCTATTATCATTGTTGCGATATGTACAGATAATTAAATGCAGATCCTGGGATTTAGAATTGGCCCCAGGATGGAAAGGGAGCAGAGGAATGCCTTGGAAACATTCTTGCCCAATTCAAAACTATTTTTCTTTTGTCTTTTAATTATATAATTTAGTCCATTTTCTATTATTGTGATTATAGGTATATTTGGATTTATTTCCACCATCTTATGCTATTTGTCCTGCCTTTTTATGTCTTTTGTGGAGGGGAGATCACCTTTCTTAACTTCTTTTAGAGGATTAAATTGAATGATTAAGTTGTAGTCTTACCTCTTTTTCTCTCTACTGCTTTGGATGATATGTACTGTATTTTTTATTCTTTTAGTTGTTTCCTTAAATACATATTTATTTTTGGTTAATCCTCACTGGAGGATATATTTCCATTGGTTTTTTATTTACTTACTAGAGGCTCGATGCACGAAATTTGTGCATGGGTAGGGTCCCTAGGCCTGGCCGGCGATCAGGGCCAATCTGTGGGGCGACCAGCGGGGTAATCGGCGGGGGGGATCTGCTGGCACCCACTTTGGTTGGCCTGGGGCCTGCTGGCTGGGGGCAGCTCCTGCGTTGAGCGTCTGCCCCCTGGTGGTCAATACACATCATAGCAACTGGTCATTCCACTAGTTGTTCTGCTGTTCAGTCAATTTGCATATGAGGCTTTTATTATATAGGATTTATTTTTAGAGAGAGTGGAAGGGAAGGGGAGGAGAGAGAGAGAGTGAAAGAGAGAGAGAGAAAGAGAGAAACCTCAATGTGAGAGAGACACAGTGATTGGTTGCCTCTCCCATGTGTCCCAACAGGGCAACTGGGGTCGGGGATGGAACCTGAAACCCAGGCACCTGCCCTTGACCGAGAATCGAACCCATGACCTTCCGGTATGCTGGCTGATGCTCTAAACACTGAGCCACATTGGCCAGGGCTAGTTGTTTTCTTTAGTATTTTAAAACTAGAGGCTCGGTGCACAAAAATTTGTGCACTCGGGGGGGTCCCTC